GAAGAAGTAATATTTTTTTTTTGTTTTTAGATTTTAAAAGCTCATCAAATATCGGGTTAAATATCGGTGGGGTGGCCGATGTCCGATATTCAGTTTTAAGGCCGATACAGGCCGATACCGATAGGGGGCTGATTATATCGTGCATCCCTAGGATTTATCTAAAAAGTCAAATTGATGTTCCATATCTCATCAGCTGTATTTTGTTCTCCTCTTACGTGATCTTATTTTGTGAATCTGTCTCCTTTTAGCCTCTAAATCCACCCTGGAGTTTGATGGAAGCACACAGAAGTTAAAAAAGCTGCACGCTGTGGATGCAGATGGAGGGTTAGTGGATACTTCTCAGAGACTTCCGCTGTTATGATTATTGGCTGAAATAGAGGCTTTAGAGGAACATTTATTTCACCAAGAAAAAAAAACAGCTTATTGATTTTGGTCTGGGAGATGGATAAAACTCTTAATGAAGCTGTCAGTAAGACAAGACCAACAAGTCAAAAGATGACATGAGGGAAAGCAGACAAAGCCTTAAAGACATGTTTTATTCATTCTTTGGGGTTTAAGGACTCATATTTAGAGAGAGACATCGTTTGGCTCAGAACGTCACATATTCAGCCTCAGCAGGCTTGACGTCCGCTTAGCTTCATCTTTGTGCTTTCACTCTCAGCCAATGAAGCCAGTAATCATTTCACTCAAATCATTTCTAACCTTTTTAAAAAGAATAATGCATTTGAGTCGCATGTCATATAAATCTTAGTCTGGCTCCAGTAATTGAATCAGCTCACAGTGTGACTGAACTGACTAAATGACTCTTATGTCAGTTCATGCTGATATAAATCCAGACTGGAACAAAGATTTTTTGAAAGAAAATAATATGAAATTGCTTTTATCAATTTAAGGTAATCAAAAGCAGTTCAAAGGTTTTACTGAGGATAAAATAGGTAATAATTTCATAACTTTTATTTCACTTTAGAATCCAAATGTCCACGGTGAGAAGCATGTTCAGCCAGGACTTTAGTGATTTGGAACACCGGGACACCAGTGTTACCCCTCAGGGGATGGAGGCAAAAACAGTCCAAGCAGAGATGCTGACATTCCCAAAAGGACATGTTACTCTGGTGGGAGCAATATCAGGACAAACAGATGGAAACACAGCTTCGCTGGAAGCTGACGGCCTCGAGAAAAAGCCCAAACCAAAAACTGTGGGAGAGCAGATGGACGGGATCTCTGGCTCAGATACAGAAGGAAGGTGAGAACACAGCAGACTACAAATCAGTATCTGTTTGGTATTGATCTAATTTTGATTGATCAAAACAACAGTGTTTGTTTTTAATTGTTCTATGGGAGCATATTTAGTAGCAGGAGGCAGATTGTCTGTGTTATTTATTACCTGATTGTTATCTTCTAGGGACACACCGAGTCCAGACTTCATGTCCGCTTGTCTGTTTGTGAAGGATCACATGGACATCACAGACAACCCTAATGAGGACATGGTAAATACTCTTTTATATGACTCCAGGGAAGGAGAGGACTGTTATTAAAGCGCCAGTAATCTGTCAGGGTGTCATAGATGGATAACCAATAAAAAAACAGTCAAGATCAGTGTTGTATAAAGTACTGAATTCTCAGAGTCAAGTAAAAGTATAAGTACCTCTCCAAAATATGACTTTGGTAAAAGTCCAAGTCACTGACTGAAATTTTACTTGAGTAAAAGTCTTAAAGTATCTGAAATGGCTTGTACTTAAGTATAAGAATTACTGTAAGAATAGATGTACTCAAGTATACACTCACCGGCCACTTTATTAGGTACACCTGTCCAACTGCTCGTTGACACTTAATTTCTAAGCAGCCAATCACATGGCGGCAACTCAGTGCATTTAGGCATGTAGACATGGTCAAGACAATCTCCTGCAGTTCAAACCGAGCATCAGTATGGGGAAGAAAGGTGATTTGAGTGACTTTGAACGTGGCATGATTGTTGGTGCCAGAAGGGCTGGTCTGAGTATTTCAGAAACTGCTGATCTACTGGGATTTTCACACACAACCATCTCTAGGGTTTACAGAGAATGGTCCGAAAAAGAAAAAACATCCAGTGAGCGGCAGTTCTGTGGGCGGAAATGCCTTGTTGATGCCAGAGGTCAGAGGAGAATGGCCAGACTGGTTGGAGCTGATAGAAGGGCAACAGTGACTCAAATAACCACCCGTTACAACCAAGGTGGGCAGAAGAGCATCTCTGAACGCACAGTACGTCGAACTTTGAGGCAGATGGGCTACAGCAGCAGAAGACCACACCGGGTGCCACTCCTTTCAGCTAAGAACAGGAAACTGAGGCTACAATTTGCACAAGCTCATCGAAATTGGACAATAGAAGATTGGAAAAATGTTGCCTGGTCTGATGAGTCTCGATTTCTGCTGCGACATTCGGATGGTAGGGTCAGAATTTGGCGTCTACAACATGAAAGCATGGATCCATCCTGCCTTGTATCAACGGTTCAGGCTGGTGGTGGTGGTGTCATGGTGTGGGGAATATTTTCTTGGCACTCTTTGGGCCCCTTGGTACCAATTGAGCATCGTTGCAACGCCACAGCCTACCTGAGTATTGTTGCTGACCATGTCCATCCCTTTATGACCACAATGTACCCAACTTCTGATGGCTACTTTCAGCAGGATAATGCGCCATGTCATAAAGCTGGAATCATCTCAGACTGGTTTCTTGAACTCAAATGGCCTCCACAGTCACCAGATCTCAATCCAATAGAGCATCTTTGGGATGTGGTGGAACGGGAGATCATGGATGTGCATCATGGATGTGCAGCCGACAAATCTGCGGCAACTGTGTGATGCCATCATGTCAATATGGACCAAACTCCCTGAGGAATGCTTCCAGCACCTTGTTGAATCTATGCCACGAAGAATTGAGGCAGTTCTGAAGGCAAAAGGGGGTCCAACCCGTTACTAGCATGGGGTACCTAATAAAAAGGCCGGTGAGTGTAAGTAAAAAGTAATGCAGTTTGAATGACATTTTTTACATTTTTCTTAAACTTTGAAGGTTAAATTCACTTAAAATAATATAAACAACCAAGTGTAGGATAAATTTAGACTGGCTTTGCGAAACAGGCGTATCTTATTGGTGTTGATGAACAAGCCCAGGCAAGACCCGACTTTGTAGTGAGTAGGCGGGTTCAAAACACTTGCGTTTCTTTCGCTCGTTTTTTTTTTTTTTTACTTAGTAACTAAACCAAACATTAAAAATGTATCGGAGTAAAAGTATGCAATTAAGTTCGTAAATGTAGTGAAGTAAAAGTGAAAGTTCTCAAAAAAATGTATACTCTTGGAAAGTATAAAGTACTCCAAAATATACTTAAGTACAGTAGTGAAGTATTTTTATTTTGTTACTATACAACACTGGTCACTAGTATGTTTATGCCTAAATAACCAACTTTCATCTATAAATAGTTTGAGTTGACCTGTCTTTTCAGGTTCAGTTAAGTGGTTAATATGGTCAAACTGTACTGAATACTCTGATTTGAAAGGCTGACAATGATTGTTAGCTCTAATGAGCCATTTAAAGTTAATATTTCCCCTCAGCTATATTTTTGTTCTTCGTAGGGAGGAAGCAAACTCATAGATCCATAAGCTGATGTGCACCTCTTATCCAGGAAGGCTTCTTACGTTTCTGTGGGCGAAGAGGGAAGAAACGATGTCCCCTTTTTGTCTACTGAGACATTTTGGCTTTAAACTAAAACTTCCCTCGACTGTAGAACCTTTTGCGGATGATAACGCTTTGCTGGGCTTAACCAAAAATCTACTCCAAATAATTTCTCTGCCTAAAAAAGCATAAGAAGCACCTCACTAAGAGCAAAAACTGGAAATATTTAGAAAAATTAATCTCCTTACCTTTGTTTTAGGCTGCAGGCTGTGACGTTTGTTTAATCTGTGCTTCCTGAAAGTGATGTTTGCAAACATTTGTATTAAAAACTACTTCTCTCCAAAGGTGCTTCCATTGCAGAGCTTTCATTCCAAGTTCCTGCCCCTGGGGGAGATCACTTATTTAAACCGTGCTTTAAAAAAAAAAACATTTCTCAATATAAAACCATCAGGATTAACACAAACTTACTTCAGACAAAGGAGTTGTTAAGACTTCAGTGCGAGACTATTACTGCTTTTGTGGGAAAAATAATGAGGAAAGGGTTAGAAGTGTGCAAGAACTGTACACATCACACATTGATGGTAGAGGACAGTCATTAGTGGGAGCTATCTGTCAGAGCAGACTGTTTATCCACATGTTCGCATTGTTCCAGGATAACTAACAGCGTCTGTGAATTCTCCGTTGATGTCCCAACAACAGTTTTCAAACTGTAGATTCAAAAAACATGCAAAAAATGGCTGTTACAAAATAAGTGACCTCCCAAATGCTTTGTTCGTCCCTGTGGACTACGCAACGCCTTGCTAAAAACACATATTAAATAGAACGTCATATGGCTCAGCAGAGGGTGTTTTGTTAAAGAAGAGTTGAATAATAGATATTTCATTTTAAATTTAAAGCAATAGCATGAAGAAAAAATAATGCAATTAACAGATTTTTATGTTGAAAGTTTGCTAATCAGATAAAGTCTAGATCAGGGGTCCCCAATGTGGTGCTCAAAGGGGCAAGGCAGTCGTCAAGGAGCAGTTGAGGCACCAATGAGCCAAATAAAAATTCTTTTTCAATCATAAATGCATTTATAGAGATTTTAATATCACAATATCTTAAAGAAACAATAAAATTTTAGTTTAGCGATTGTAGTTTAGCGAAATGCTGACTCTTTTATTTCACCAATCAGTATTGATTGAAATTGTATGAATTAATACCTACAGTAGTAGCCATTCAAAATTTCCGCACTTTCCTTGATGGGTCCTTGGCTTGTCCCCTACAATTCATTTTTAAACATCTAAAATATTCTTTCTGTTATTATTTGTGGACATTAAGAGCTAAAGAGAAGCGTTCTCTCCTGGTCAGACCCTGTAATTAAGTGAAAGGGTGGAGTAAAAAATATGCACGTCAATGAGAAGGCCAGTGGCTGGAAGTTGGATTCAGCTGGCTTTTGACTGGGAAGGGCCATAAAGGGTCTTAAAAATCAATTTGTTGACCAGTTCATTTGTCAGTTGTTTCCTGGTATGTTTTTATCTAGAGGAAAGCTCTGGTCACAATGTTCCAGCACTGGTTTGGCACTGCGGCGGAGGAGGCCTCAGAGGCCTGCAGGGTAGCTGCATACCTGAAGGAAGTAAAGAAGGAAGCACCGTCTCTGCTGGCTTTCCTCGTCAATCTGGAAGATGACAACGGCAACACGGTGCTGCATTACAGCGTGTCCCACTGCAACTACAGCATTGTGAGTCTGCTGCTGGAAACAGGTAATGGGGTTTATCGGCGGGCTTTGCTCATGGGAAAGGCCTTTACTGTATCCTAGTGGTTGAAAATGTCTTTAAAAGGTGTGAGCGACGCAAACATTCAGAACAAAGCTGGATACACAGCAGTGATGCTGGCCTCGCTGACCGCTCCCGATGGACCCGCTGGGATGGAGGTCGTCCGAAAGTTAATGGAGTTGGGGAATGTTAATATTCGCTCCAGTCAGGTAACATGGTGTATTCAATCTAATGTGACAAAACATCACACATTGTTGAGTCTTCAATATTTCCATTTCATACAAGACGTTTCATACAGAGTTTATAAAGACTATTTTTTATTTTACTGTTCCTCTCACCACAGACGGGCCAGACAGCGCTGCACTTGGCAGTAAGACACGGTCGAATTGTTATGGTCCGCCTCCTGCTGAGCTGTGGAGCCGACGCAAACATCCAGGACGACCAGGGGATGACGCCCCTCATGTTCGCCTCAGAACGAGGCCACACACACATCGCAAGACTGTTGCTGGAAAGAAGCCAATGCGACCTGAGCCTGACTGACAGGGTAAGACTGCAGCCAACTGCTGAATAAATCTACATCACGCTCATCTTGCTACATACATTCCAAACAACAGATTTGTTTATCGATCAATTTAGTTAAAAAAATACAATAGAGGATGTATAAAACTCATTTTCCCTCTCTTAGGTAAAAGCACAGCTTGATTATACTGTGGGTTTTGCAGCAGATCATGTTTGGTTCTCTACATCCTCAGATTAGTAGCACAAAATCAAATTCACCTTTTTGTACAGATAAATAGGTTGCTTTTATTTTAGCATCAAGTTGAGATAAAATAAAGGAAAACATTTGTTTAGTTTTACACCAGGGCATGGGCTGCTGTGAGAATTTTTCACTATGGTGAAGATTCTGAGTCATCCAGGTCATAGTCATTCCAAAAAAGTTATGAAACTATCCACTGGGGTGTGGTAAGGGCACACGACCCATGTATGGAGGCCATGGTCCTAGATGCGGGCAACTCGGGTTCGAATCTGGCCTGTGGTCCTTTTCCACAAGTCTCCCTTTCCTGTCAGCCCACTGTCTGTAGATAAAGCCACTAGTGCTGTAAAAAAAATAAAAATAAAACAATCCGCTGGGCTTTGTTTCAAATTTGAAGATGGTTTGCTACCCAACCTGGAAGCTTTTTCAATTCAAATGTCAGAATTAGTGTTGAGTTCGAGGCCTTATAGAGTGGACCAAAAACAAAGGCCCCGTCCACACGAAGTCAAAACGAACACGAAACGCTGATATTTTCCAAAACGTTT